AGCAGGCCATACGCGACCACGCCCGCTGTCCCTGTCAAGAACCACCTGGCAGTGATCGCGGGGTGGCCGCGCATGATCCAGATTTTGCCGCGAGCTGCATATATGATTTGTCTCTGACTGGTTTTCCTGTGATTGAAGGGCCTCGACAGTTTCCGAGCGCACGAACGCTCCGCCTGCGCTCTTTGTCTCGCCGAAGCCGTTCTGGCTTAAAGCTCTGATCGTGGGGCCCCGGGAGCGCATGGGCCTCCCGTGGCTCGCGGCCGGGCCCTGGGCTGCCTCGGTGGCAACCGCCTGGCTGACGCGGTGCCCGGCGTGCCCGGAGGCGCGCGTCACCTGCGGCAGCTGCCCGACCTGCCCCCCGCCGCCGGCGGTCAGCTGCGGGGCGCGCCCGAGCTGCCCGACGTGCAGCCTGAGCTGCGGCAGTGGGCCGGGCTGGTGGGCCGTGGGCGCTGCCCTAGCCGCGGGCCTCCTGCTGGGCGGAGGCGGCCGCGCGGTGTTCGACGCGGTGTCCTGGGTCGCGGAGCTCCTCGTGGGTCTGGCGACGCCTCGTCCTGGGCAGGGCGAGGACTCCCTCGTGAACGACGACGGGCTGCCGGCCACGCCGGCAGGGCGGCGCGGGTTTCGCGCCGTGCGCGCCTGAGCGACCGAGTCTGGATGGCGGGTCTTCGTGCTCTCGACGGGCCGGAGTCGCAGGAGGGTGTCAACTTCGACGACGACGGCAGCTTCAGACGGCACCATCGGCTGCTGCTACTGCAGCTCAGTCCAGGTGCCTGGGTCGCAGCCAGCCCAGAGGGGGAGGTGCTCTTCCTGGACTCGAGCGGGCGCTCGGTCGTGGCCCTCCGCCGCGACTCGGTCTTCCCGGAGAGGGTGCGCGGGCAGGAGAACGCGCTCGGGGGGACGGACCCGGACGGCCTCGAGGCGCTCCGCGTCGTGGCGCGGGCTCTGGCGGTGGTGATGGGCGTGACCATGCCGACAGCGGCGCCTGGCGCTCTGTTGGCGCGCTGGGTCGGCCCGGACCTTGGGTCGCCAGACTTCGGCATGGAGCTGGACGTCGACGCCGCCGGGAACCCGGAGAGGCTGATCTTCAGGGATGCAGTCGGCGCTGCCCGGCGCAGCGTAGGGGAGGGCTGGGACTCGGTCGAGAACGTCCGGGAGCGCGACGAGGAGGCCTGGCGCGCCGTGAAGCGCCGTGGCCCGGGGCGAGATCCCAGGATCTCGTCGCTGTCGAGGCGCGCCCCTGGCCAGCCCGTGATGGAGATTGTTTTTTTATCCTCTGGGGGGTAACGCTCGTTACCCGGGCCTCTCCCCCCCCCCCCCCCCCCGTAACGGTAACGCTCGTGCGCGGGGGGGGTCTCGGTCTTCCCCTCCAACATGCTGGTGCCCGAAGGCATGCGCACTGTGGTGTGGTGGTCGCAGGCGCACTGTGGGCGCTCGCAGGCCATTGCGGCGCTCGCATGCGCGATGCTGGTGCTTGCGGGCTTTGCGCTTGTACTCGAATCGTCGTCGTCGTCGTCGTCGTCGTCGTCGTCGTCGTCGTCGTCGTCGTCGTCGACGGCGCCCGAAAACGGCCTCCGGAGGCCGAAACAGGCGGCAAACGTCGTCGTCGTCGTCGTCGACCTCGTCGCTCGTCGCTCGTCGATCATCGTCGTCGCGCGCGCGGGCGCGGGCGTGGTGCCGGGACCACGCGGCGGGCTTTGCGCTTGTACTCGAATCGCAAGCCACTGTGGTGCTCTCAGGCAGAGAGTGCTGCTCGCGCGCATACTATGGCGATCGCAGAGCGCCCCTGCTTCGCCATGCCCCGCCCAGCCCAAGCGTTACCGTTACCCGGGGGGCACGACCCCCCCCCCCCCGGGTAACGAGCGTTACCGGCCGGAATAAAAAAAATATCTCATGCTCGCAGAGGCCGTGGCGGTGATGAGCGCGATCGTGATCGACGACTGGCCCTTTCGAGGGCCGCGTGCCTTGGCCAAGCTGCTCAGCGCTGTGCTCGCCTCGGGGCTCACCCTCGCCTCGTACGGGGGCTTCCGGGCGTCGGAGTCCGGGGTCTCGATGAACGCGGCGGTGGCCATGGACGTGCTGCACCTGGTGATCGATGCGTTCGTCGCCGAGGAGCAGAAGGCACAGGGCGTGATCATGAAGCAGAAGATGCTGTTCGGGGAGGAGCAGCAGCCGAAACCGAGGAAGTTCGAGAGGGCCGACGACGACAGGCCGCCGAAGAAGCCGACGCCCAACGAGGAGGCGGAGGCGAAGGCGGGTCCCAAGGATCAGGGTTGACGGCGCCGGGGAGGCGCCGATGTGGCTGGGCTCGCCGCCTGGCCTTCCACCGCCCACCCCTGGCGGCGCGACTGCCGACGTGCGCCAGGGGTGGCATCCCTCCGAGGGGTTCTCCTCCGAGGGCAGGACTTCGCCCGCTGTTTTGTTTCCTCTGCCTCGGGGTGATGACTTTTATCGCCGCGCCCGTCGTGGAGAACGTGCCGCTCTGCCTCGGTACTTGGCCCAGCGTGCTGCTCGTGCTGACGACCGCGACCGTCGTTCTCTCGAGGCGATGGGGGCGCTCAACGGGTTGGCGGCCGCTCGGGCTGGAGGGCGCCTCGAGCCTCGTGCGCCTGGCAAGCAGAGGCCGACTACCGCGCAGGAGTCGGCCATCAAGCGAGTCCGACGTCGCGTCCGCAGTTTCGGAGACCGCCCGAAGGACATGGACTCTGCTGGAGCCCTTCAGGAGCTCCTCAAGTGCAAGGACCTGTACTCGGCCATGGGCGAGAGCTCTACGCGCCGTGATTATGATGCCGGTAAGCTTAACGTGCTGCGGCGTCCCGTCAGCGACCAGCCGCGGCAGCTTCGCGGAGTGGCGCCTCGCCGCGTTTCCGAGGTCTTCGACAACTTCAACGTGGACGTGGTGCGGCCAGCAGCTAACATCCCCGACGACGAGGAGATCGTGGAGCCGTACTGGGACCCGCTGCTCAACCCTCGTGACCCTCGGAACCGCCCGAGGCTCGTGGACTTCTTGCGGCGCGTGGCAGAGCGGGGACTGGTCGACGGCCGCCGAAGACGAAAGGCTTGCGTCAGTACGTTCTTCGTGGCCAAGAAGAATGGCGACGTCCGCATGGTGGTGGGCGCCCGCCAGCCGAACCAGCTCCACAAGTTGCCGCCTCGGACGGCGCTCGCTTCCGGCGAGGCACTGGGTTCGATCAACTTGCTGGGCGCCATCGACGCCTCGCCGGAGGACGTGGCCGACTTTGACGGCTGCTTCGAGTCGCTCTGTGCGGGCTCGGTGGACCTCACGGATGGCTTCTACCAGTTTGCCGACCCCGCCTGGGGCAGCTGGATGTGTTTCGATATCGAGGTCACCGCCGGCGAGCTGGGGGTGGACTCTATCTTCGACGACCAGCTGGGCCGCAGGGTGTGCGTCACCCCCGACGAGGTCATCTGGCCGTGCTTTGCCGCGCTGCCGATGGGCTGGAGCTGGGCGCTCTGGATCTGCCGCGAGGTGCTGGTCGACGCGATGGGCGCGGTTGGGCCCCCCGGCGATGGCTGGTGTCTTGACAAGGCCAAGGCCCCGACGCTTGTCGGTCGCTCGGTCGCCAGGGCCCCATACGTCGACAACGGGAACCTGGTCTCGCTCAGCGCGCCGGCTCTCGACGACCGCCTGGACAGGCTCACGGCCGAGCTGGATAGGCGGGGCTTGCGCTGGCACGAGCTGGAGAGAGCCCAGCCTGGGCTCGTCGTCCTCGGGACGGTGCTGGATGGGCGCGAGGGGCGCCTCCGGCACACGCCGAAGCGGGCCTGGCGGCTTTACTTGGCGCTGCACCGCACACTTCGACATCCCTGGCTGGCGCGCTGGCAGCTTCGGCGGATCGTGGGCCACATCGTGCACTACTTCTCAGCGCTGCGACCTGGCCTCAGTGTCCTGGGCGCCAGCTACGCGTACATCTCCAGCGGCGACTTGGACGAAGTGGCGCGCTTGCCCCCCGACGTGCTGGGCGAGCTGGCGACTACAGCCGGCCTGGTGTTCCTGGGCGAGGTCGACATGTGCAGGGTGCCGTCGGACATTGCCTTCACCACCGACAGCTCAATGCAGGGCTACGCCGTGTGCGAAGCACGCCTGGAGCCGCGGGAGATCCTGGCTACCACTCGATGGCGGGAACGCCAGCGCTTCGTACCTTCGGTGGTGGAGATCGCGCCCGACACGGATGTGCATGAAGGGCGCGTGGCGGGGCTGCTCGACGCCTCCGAGCCGCTGCCTCTGGAGGCCCCGCCAAGGCCCAGACACGCCGTCGCTCGGCGGCGCCGAGTCGAGCTTGAGATCGGGGTGCCGCCCGAGCCCTTGGCGGAGGCGCTGCTGGATCCCGCGCGCTGGACGGAGCGGCGCCGTGGTGCGCGGCGCTGCCCAGGGCGAACTCACGGCTTGGAGGCGCGGGCCGCAGTCGCTCCCCTATGGCGGGCGGCGGGCGATGTTCGGTTCCACGGCGCCGAGATCCTCAGCTTGTGTGACAACATGTCGTCGGTCCTCGCCTTTGAGAAGGGCAGGGCCACCAATTTTGAGCTGCTGGCGCAGTGTCGCCGCGCTGCTGCAGTGTGCCTGGGCTGCGAGATCCGCTGGCGCCCAAGGCATGTCCCGGGCGTCCAGAACGTCGCGGACCACGGCAGCAGGGCGGCAGATCGCGGAGAGCTACGAGCTGGGCGCTACCGGGGGCAATGGGGCCCTCTCGGCCCCCACGCGGCGCAGCCGCCGCGAGCCCGTGGTTCGGCCCGCTCGGGCGCAGGTCCATCAGACCGACGGGAGAGAGGCCGTGTCTCTGCGGCCTGAAAATACAGAGAGTCAGATTGATCAGACTGTTTTGCCATCTCAGACGCTGTGCGCTCATACTTTTTCTCGTTCCATACTTACGGAAGTGGCGTTGCCAACCAGCTGGGCCGAGAGACGCTCTGACACCTCCTCTCCGCATCAGCATGAGGGCTCCCGTGGTCAACATTGCGAGTGTCACGAGAAGCCTCAGGAGGACCCTCGCGGGACTCATAGCGCTCAAGATGCTGCATGCGAAGGGCCAGGTGATCGACCCGTTCTACCCGTGGGGCCCCGAGAGGACCCTGAGGGAGCTCGCCAACGACGGGGTGATCGTCTTGGGGATGCGCGACGTCTTGGGGCTGGGCCTCCTGATCTTCCTCGGGCCGGCCGTGGTCGCAAGGCGTTATTGGAGACCTTTGCCGGCAATGCTAACCTCGCTGGAGCCCTTCATGAAAGAGGCCTTCGAGTTCTGCCCCCGGTGGACATCAAGATGGGCCCCCACTGTGACCTCACACTTCGGAGAGTCCAGCGTCTGGTGCTACATTGGCTCGAGAGTGGCGAAGTTTGGTGGGTTCACCTCGGACTCCCCTGCGCGCGCTGGGTGCCCGCGGGAGGCAAGCGCGACCCCTTGCCTGTGGACCGCGTCCTGGTCTCGTTCACTGTCCGCGTCCTACGGCTGTGCAGGCGGCGTGGGATCTTCGCGACCTTCGAGAATCTACCCGCTAGCCGCGTCTGGCGCTGGCCCGCGCTCGAGCGGGAGCTCCAGCGCCTCGAGTATCCCAAGGTGCCGTTCGACTCGCGCAGGTTCGGGGCCCCGTTCAAGAAGCCGGGCGCGATCGCAGGCAGCTTGCCAGGCTTGGAGGCCTTGGGGCTTCGCTGCGGCTGTGCCGGTCGGCATCGCGTTGAGCTTCAGGGAAAAGTCCGGCATCCTACTCGCGGCTGGGTGTGGCGGACGACCCTGGCGAGCGCTTGCCTGCCGAGCTGCCGAGCTGGCGCCGGCTGCTGGTGTCCCTGGCGGGCCCCCATGCGCCGCGCGGCGCCTTCGGCCGAGCCACGGCGGCGGAGCTCCAGGGCAGGGCTCACGCGCTGGCGAGCGCGGCAGGCTGCCGAGAGCCCCGAGCCATCTCCGCGCCGGTCTGCCCGCAGCGCTTTCGGCTCCCCTGGCGGCCAGGGCGGGCCTCCGCGCTCGACCCGAGGCTGCGGTAGCGCTGAGGGATTTTCGGCGCCCTCGCCAGCTCGCTTGCCGACCTGGACGCCGAGGACATCGGGCGTGGCGGCGGCCGCAGCTTCTCGGGGCATGGCAGCTGCTGGGCGCGCCGGGGAGTCCGACGGACGTTTGGCGCCGGTGCCGAGACCGCCGGCCAGGGCACAGAGGCAGCGGCGTGCTGCCGCCGCCGCCCGCGGCGATGCCGCGGCCGCCGGGCGCAAGGCTGGGCCCGGAGACGACCTTGGGCTGGCCAGCTTACGTCCTGCGACGCTCGCCAGCTATCGCAATGCAGCTGAGGCATTCGAAGTGATTGCGCAAGAGCGTGGCCCCCCTTTGCCCTCACCGCCGGAGGCCGACTCGGCCTTGAATCTCTACTTCGAGGACCTGTTCTTTGCAGGCGTGCCGCAGTACGTGGGCCGCCTGGGCCTGTCTGGCCTGTGTGAAGGCCGTTCAGCCTGTCTGCTCTGTCCTAGACAACGGCGCCGGCCTTGACCTCTTGGTCGCACTGAGCGCGTTGGTCCAGTTTGACATGTACTTTCTGCCGACCAATCCTGCCTTTGGCCCTCGATGCTCTGGCCCCTCTGCCGATATCACGGTAGCGGTTGCCCCATTGAGCGAGGACAAGCCAGCAAAGAATCGTGACTCGACTGCACTGTGAAGGCAGGCGTTGACCTGCCCCTCCGCCGCTTAGTGCCTGAGATTCTGTCTCGACTCCGTGCCGGGGCGCGGGGGCAATGCCTCCCCACCCCCTTTTTGCCCCTCTCCTCCTCGTACAGTACGACAAAGCTTTGAAGGCCGCGGCTGACACCGCGGGAGTGGTAGAACTTCTGGCTTCGCCAAGGGGGCCTTCGCATGAAGCTCTGCACGATGGGGGGCCCATCTCGAGCATTCAGGCTAGAGGGCGCTGGCGCGCCCATGAAAGTGTCAGGGTCCATGATAAACACGGCTGCGCGCTTCGGCAACGTTCAAACCTGTCAACCTCGCCGCTTGCCTACGCTCGAAGGCTCTCAGAGGCGCGTGCTCGTGACATGCTTCGTCGGGTATGTGCCTGACCGCGTTGCTTGCCGGCGGCGCCAATTGTGCCCCCTTGGCCTCGGCTTGCGCTCGATGCACTAGGCTGTTCTTCTGTTTCCCGCCCGCCCTCCCTAGAGCCTTTTGCATGGGGATGGGGCTGGGCACTTGGCGTTGTGGCTCTCTGGAGGTGCGATTTTGAATTGCACGCTGGCCTTGCGGCCATTTCCTCTGGAGAACCATCCGTGGATGTCGCCGCGGCGCTTGCCTTCTTGTTGTCGTCTGACAAAAGAGCGAAAGATGGAACCCAGAGTGCTGTCGCATGTTTCCGCGACCCCATGGGGGGGGCCCTGCCGTAAGACAGGAATGATTTGTCTCTGAATGGTTTTCCTGTGATTGAAGGGCCTCGACAGTTTCCGAGCGCACGGCCGCTCCGCCTGCGCTCTCTGTCTCGCCGAAACCGTTCTGGCTTAAAGCTCCCGCCCGCCTCCCCCGCGCACCTGGACACTTGGTGTCGTGTCTCTCTGGAGGTGCGATTTTGAATTGCACGCTGGCCTTGCGGCCATTTCCTCTTGAAAATCTTCCGTGGATGTCACCGCGGCGCTTGCCTTCTTGTTGCCGTCTGACCAAAGAGCGAACGATGGAATCCAGAGTGCTGTCGCATGTTTCCGCGACCCCATTGGGGGGGGCCCTGCCGTGAGACAGGAATTTGTGTTGTGTTAGGGAAGGTGGCCCTGCGCACAGCAGGTAGTACGCCGCCGCCCCCGCCGCCCCTGTCAAAAAAAATATATATTTTTTTTTAAAAAAAAAGTGGCCGCGAGCTCACGAACATGGTTCAACTTTTTGTTTCAGAGCATGGATCGTATAATTTTTGGCATGGACGGCGGAGGGGCCCGCGTCGGGTTGGTTGCGCGCGCTACGAATTTGAAGGCAGAGTGTGCGTTTGTATTCGTTTTTTTTTGTCAGGGATGGTTGGGGGGTGGGGGGCATGGGGTCGGCATTGCTTGGTTGGTTGCCAGTCGCATGGAGGAGGGGGTTCATACTAATAGGGAACAGTGATGAACCCCTCCCCGAAGGGGAAGAAGGTTGACAGAGAAACCGCCCTAGACCACCTATGCCCAGAGAGCCGATGAGATCCGGCGAAATGCGCAAGCGCACGGGCACGAGAAACAAGTTGGAGGGGCAGGGGAGGTAGGGGCAGGACTTCCTACGAAAGCGTGTGAACTGATGTTGCCCACTGTTATCGCGGGCTGCCCTGGCGCCTGCGGAGGGCACAGTTATTGGGGGCAGCGCCGGCATCTCACACTAGTAATGCAGCTAGTAAGGTGTCGCCATGATGGGCGATTTTCTTATACAGGTGTTCTTGCCTATCGTGTAGGATCGCGGACGCCGGGCCTGGAACCTGCGCCATCGAGCACAGATGTGGTCGAAATTCTGGAAAGGTAAGACGGCGCGCTCCTCAGTTGTTTTCGCAATATCTTGCGATAGAAGCGTCCATCTTGCTGTTGTCCTTTTTGCAAGAACCACGGTGCCTCAATGGGCCTTCAGGAGGAGGAAAGGGGGTAAATGGATGGAAGTTGCGATGAATGGACGGATCGACGGGGGAAGTGTAGGGGGGGCGCAGGGAGCAGCCGGGGAAGGGAGGGGAGAGGAGAGAGGAGGAGGAGGAGGAAGAGGAGGAGGAGGAGGAGGAGGAGGAGGAGGAGAGGAGGCGGAGCAAGGGGGGGATATGTTGGGACAAGGGGATGAAGAGATGATAGAAGGAAGCGAGCAGTAGGAACACGTAAGGATGGATGATGGGGGAATGCAAGGGGGGGGGAAGGGGAATGGACATGAGGACGAGGAGGAGGGCCGTGTTAATCCAAGACGCATCAACGATGTCGCGATCATCCTCTCTCCAAGTTCCCGCTTCATAGGTCCCTACAAGAATTCATTGCTGGTGTCCATTGCGGGAAGTGCCCCATCAGAACCGTAGACGGGCTAACGGCGATATAAGTAACGGCGATGAGGTTTTGGCGGTGTGGGAATGCGTGGCTCGCGCTGTCCCACAGCTCACTGCGTCGTGTTCGGTGGATCCGCTCGCAAACTGGACACGTGAGAACGTGTGGTTGGTGATTTCCTACACTGTGGCTCCCAACAACACCGTTAAGCAACATCGTTGTCAGCCCGGCCTAGTTAGAATACAGTCATTCGAACATTCTCAACCGTGCCAAAACACCGTTCTTGGGACGTCAGCGCCGCGAGTCATCGTGACTGACTGGTGTGCCCTGGCAATCCTAAATCGCGCAAGAACGCCAACTCTGAAATATGCGTACCGCGAATCAGCGCGACGGCGGCGTCTTGCAAGTCCTCAGTCGTGCCAGAACACGATTCTCGGGATTTCAAGCAAACGAATATTTGACATGGTTGTAAGCTTTCCAAAGAGAATGACCAACAGTCAATTCATTCCTTCCGCGCCACCAGCCAGCCGCCCGTCCTGCTCTGCGGCCTTGCCTGCACTGTCTGCTGCGCTGTCTGCTTTTCTTCTTGACTTGAACGTTTTACCTGCAGCTACACCTTGGCTCCAGGGGAACGGAAAAAGGAGCGAGCCTGCGGCGCGCGCGCGCGTCGGCCGACGGGCCAGCCTCCTCCCTTCACTGTTGCCCTATTGCGCGCTTGACGGCACGATCCTTTCTTGCCCGCGTCATCGGCCGAGCCCACTGACTATGATGCATCAACAGAACATTTTGCAGGGATGCTGGATATCCAGGCAAAATATTGGTTATCAGCCACAGCGGCGGCACAGCCGCTAGCTTCGCAGAGCATGGGGCCACAGGAAGGATCGCTCGGAACCGAAGAAGATCGTTATCGTTCCGGGCACACAGAAAAGGCACGCGTCGAAAACTGCGTTCGATTTAACAGAAGGAGAGTTTCCAGTTGATTCGATGACAGTAGCATGGGAACAACCCCGGGTGGGAGGTATGGCACAGCCAAAACTCCCACCAGGGTGTCATCTGGGCTTGCGCCGGCACGCCCGAGTTCCCAACCGTCGATCGATTTAGACCATGAAGTGCAGAAATAGCTGGAGAAATTGCCCAGAGAAGCGCTAGATCAAGGTAACTGCAGCACAGGAGAAGCAGCGCAATTTGAGATTCATGGTCAGGGCGAGGAAGAGAGCGATCTGCCATCTGAAAAAAAAAAAAAAGTTCGCATTCGATTTGGGGGGACGAGGAGCACGCTCAGTTTCATACCTCGCCTGGCCCATCCCGCCACCATAATCCCATTACCAATGGATTCGACGGCCTCGCCGCAGGTGTAGACCCGTCTGATGACGAGACCATTGACTACGTCGATGCAATATAACGGGCTCTTTTCGATTCGGACGATGATATTGGAGATGGGGGGGGGCCCAGGTCAAGGCAAGAGTTCGTCGGCACAGCCGATGTGTAACTCGCCCGAAGGCTTGGGCGCGGTCGGGCATATAAGAAAGCCGACAGGAACGATTCCACTTCCACAAGTAAAGAAGTCTAGGAATGAGGATGACGACCTGGGCGCCCCCCCCACTACCAGAAGGCTTTCACCGACCCGACGGCGCATTGACGAGGTCAAGCAGGGGCAGGGTGTCAGAACTTGAAGGGTTGGCAATGCAGGACCGAAACAAAAAACGAGTTAGCACAAGAGCAAGACGTCGAT